AAAAAAAAAAAAAAAGGTAAAGAAGAAATACCACCGGTCGTGTAGAGTAATCGAAACAGTTTCTTTCTTTCTTCGAATCGTCGTCTAAAATAAAAATCATGAGGGATGTTTAGCTCGTTTTTTTTTTTTTTTTAGTTGATCGCAAAAGTTCCCTGCTTCGTATACGAATCATTCTGTTCCGTGTCCGTACTCAAAGTCAAACTTTTACCTGGACATTTCGTGGCAGTGGTTCAGTCGGTCTTGTCGAAGAGCCAAGCGTTGGTTCTGACGAGGTGTAATCCTCGAGAATTGTCCGTGGCCGAGGTACACCACTGTGACCTCCCTTCAGAACCAGTAGTTAGTACGCATAGCAATGCAAGCAGAGGAAGTTAACGTTGAGAAAAATCAAAGAGTAAAAGACAGTGTCGCATGCTCGAAATAATTACAGAGATCGTAGATAGTGGTACAAGATAGAGAACTCGAGAATCCTCGAGGATAATTCTATGTACACGTTCGAGTCGAGCTTTAAAAGAGGGTGGTATTTTCATAGTTTCAACTGTGTGAATTTCAAATTCCACGTGCGGGAACGAGACTATCCGTAGAGTTACTTAGGTAAACCAGTAAAGTTGCCTCTCACTACGTAAGTGCAATAGAAACATCGTTCAATATCTTGCTAAAAGTGAAACACTACGTGCTGGATGTGGCTTGAACTGTTATGTTTTTTGTTTCTTTCTTCTGCTTCTTCTTTTTCTTTCTTTCTTGTAGATCAAAGACTCAACTACTCGGGGCATTAATTAAATCTACTTCTAAGGAGAACTTTCGGAATCGAGAATCTGATATGCCGATCAACTTTGCGTATTGAGAAAGTACGTTTGTTAACTTTTACGTTTTCGTTAAAGATCTACGTTGTTCGTTGTCAAAGTACTATTAGTACTCGGGATGCATGCAGTTTGTAGGATCGTCGGATCAGAAATTCTCATACAGAGAGAAAGAGAGAGAGAGATAGAGAGAGAGACACGTAGAAGTTGGAGCTGTCAAGTGTCTACGATACAAAAGTCGAAAATGAAGGAACGAAATGCAAAGCGCATCACGTGGGCTTGGAGTGTGCCAATTCCATCGTAACAGTAGATCGTGCGTGAGAGGAAAGGTGCAAGAGA